GCGGAGCAGTTATGTTGTTGACGATGGAGAAATGCACATAATAGCTAGGAGATGAAAAAGCCTTGATTCTGCCAGGTGCCTGCTAGGTGGGAGCCGGTGAAAGAAATCCTGGTGCTGGCACTGCCCACGATATGAGAACTCTGGATTGAAGACGTGGCTGCAGACCCAGAGAACGAGCTGGTATCTCTGCCTCTGAGCTGTACTTTTGCCTTGAGAGTGGATGACTCCATAGAAAGAACTAGACTCACTGCTTTGCTTGTATTTATCTGGTATCAACCCCCACATACCATCGAGGATGTTTTTACCTAAGTGCATGGCAGTGCACACAAATATTGCAGAACAGCCAGTGTCGAGCACCTCTTTTGAGTCTTGTGGTTTGTTCTGGAATAGATGTGTTGACATGGGTACTGATGGCGCAGAAGCACTGGTGGGTAAAACCGCCAGTGCCAGATCACAAATCCAGGCCATGGCACAAGCAATGCTAGAAAACACAGGCTCTTCACGGCCACATGCTCCCCGGGAGAAAAGAAAAGCCAGTCTCACTTAGGAGTGGTCATTAAACATTATTGGTTTTATTCAGAACCTATACAATGAAATGGGAATTAGGCACAAAATACTTCTCTGCCAACCCAAATGTGACAGTTACCTCAAGAAAAGCACGTGTTGTGATGGTTGGCGTGAGAGCCGAACTGTCCCCTCTTTTCATGGAAGAGCATTTTCACTGGAAGTTTGACAAACTGTGGTTGTTTAGACTTGGCTCTTTGGCTGACGTTTTTCTGGAAAATGAGTGAAATGGACCTGTCACTTTGAGGAAAACAATTGCTAGTATTTATTAGCAATAATCAAATCAAAACCTTCAAGTGAAAATTAGAATTTGAGGAAACTTCATTTGTCACTGTGAGCTTGATATCTTTTTAACACTTACAGACTTTGGGGGCGACTGGTTAGCTCAGTTGGTTAGAACGCGGGCTCATAACACCAAGGTTGCCGGTTCGATTCCCACATGGGCCACTGAGTTGCGCCCTCCACAACTAGATTGAAACAACGACTTGACTTGGAGCTGATGGGTCCTGGAAAAACACACTGTTCCCCAATAAAATTTCTTTTAAAAAAAGAAAAGACTTTTTTGAGGAGACTAGATAGTGATATTAATGAATTGATGTATTGATAGCGTAGAATGAAATTTGTCAACACGTGGGAGTTTCCAGAACTTTGTGAACCATTATTTCCCAGATGACCCATGCATGGTGCTGTAAAGTCACATAAGGCTGGAAGATCGAAGTTTAAGGTCAGTCGATGGATTCCAGTGTCACACTATGAAAAATTCATTGTTGGAGATTCGGATTCCCCACAGCAGCCAGCCTTGAAGAAACTCCATTTGTCAAGTATGGGTGTGGATCAAAGAAGGCTCCCAGATATCTGAAAAGTGTGAAAACACTCCCCCCTTTTCCACCGATTTACCTGAGCAAGGCTGACTTCCCGTGCGCTTGGATGACACTTTGCAGTCGAGTGAAGCCAGAGGCAGATGGGGGAGTCCGGCTCTCTTCTCTGAAGCCAGATATTGAAGAGATTTGCAAATGTGTCATGCGTCTCTTTAATTATCTTGGTTTTGGAAAAAGCTGGTTTTTTAAATAAAATGTTATATTAATATGTAATGGGTGTATTTTTTAATGGGTTAAGTAAATACTTGGAAATGTTTGTTTTAATTTCTCATAGTAAACATCAATGGATACAGCCCAAATTAAGGAAAGGTCTTTGGTTTGGAGTCTTCCACAAGGTTTAAGGGTATAAAGGGGTCCTGAGACGTGAAGGTTTAAGAGCAGGTGTTTTAGAGCAAATTGGCCGCTTGGTCCTCCCTCACCTGCGTGGACGCCCACTGTGGCGCACCCTCCTCAGGGTGGCTGTGCCCTGTAGTGGCCCTGGCTCACTGGTGGCCTAGGCTCACATCCTTGTGATCTTCATGGGGTCTGGGTGGGGTGGGATAAGGTGAGGAGGAGAGGACCCTGGCTTTGGAATCAGGAAAAAGAGGGATTTTACACTGTCACCCCCTCATGGGCAAGTCATGAGCCCCTCAGCCCCTGCGTCAACATCTACTGAGGTCAGCTGTGTTGGGGGGCCAGCAGCTGTGTGATCTCGCGAGGCTACGGTAAAGCCGCCTCTACATGCTAACTGCATGCCAAGACTTAGGCATGTCTCTGACTTAGGTCTGCTTTGGGCTCTGAATCTGCAAAGGCACCTGCCACCTGCCAGGGAGGAAAAGGTGCCTGGTGTGGGGGAGGGGCGTTTTCTTCAGGAGAGTGGGAATTTACCTTTTGAAGTAAAAAATCAAAAGGATTCCTTTGGGTACTTAAACTTTTCAATGTAGATAACTAGTAGCCTATTCCAGCTGACTGGTTAATTAACTGAATGAATGGACTGTGGTGTTTATGCTACTAAGGCAGCTTCTGACCGTCTTGCCTCCTCGGTTCATTTCATCCCAATAGCCACTGGATCCCGCCAGGAGCCCAGTGTTGGCTCTTCGCCATCTGCAACACCAGTGGCTCTCCTGTGTCCTGTGTAATGGGAGAAGCTGGGAGAGATGGCATGCGTGTATGTGAGGGAGAGAGAGCACTCGCGACCCTGCGCCTGCGCCTGTCAGGGTCCTCACCCCGCGGGGACAAGGAGGGGGCTGGCCTGCATCCCGGTGGTGCCACAATGCTTTGTGCTAAACCATCATCACGTGGCTTCAGGTTCACAGAGTGAATATCATGGCTGCGAATGTGTATGCTCCCGGTCTTTGCTTGTCTTTTCTTCCCCAGGATAGATTTCTGGGAGTGGGACTACTCATACATATTTCCAAATGGCTTTTTCAGTGAGTCCTAATTTCAGGGCCATCGGTTCCGGACCTGAATGAGGCCACCACATGCATAGTATCCACATGGAACTCGCCCGCACACCAGTGCAGTGCACCCCAATAGAACACCTGAGAGTGGGGCTGAGTTTCATTTATTGATCATTTGCGGGGGTCACTTAATTTGTCTTTGGGGAATTTCCAGTTTATGTCATTGGCTCAGTTTTCTGTTGAAGTTTTAAGCCTTTTATGTCACTTTGTAGATGCTCTGTGAAGTACAGATGTTGACTCTTTGTAGGTCGTATTATATCATATTTGCTGAAAATCTTCTCCAGCGTATTTTCTTGTTCATTTTGGTTATTCGTGTAGTTAGAGGTTCGTTTTGATCTCTTGTAGCCATGTCTGTTACTCTGTATTTGATGGCTTGTTTCTAGCTTAGACAGTAGCGCCTCGCCCCTGGGCTTGACCAGGATCTTCTTCTCTTTCTCTTCCACTTCTTCTCTTATTTAATTTAATATTTTAAACTGTCTCTTGCATTGGTCCATCTGAGGCTGCAAAGACTCCGGGGGTCCTCTTCTTCCCTTGCCTACCTTCAGGCTTCCCTGGTGACCTGGTGCCATCAGCCCAGTGTCCCCGCAGCCCAGCTAACTGAAGTCTTTAACTGGCCTGGGCTGAAATCAACACCCCTCTCCCTGCCCCAGTATAATTGAAGTCTTCTCCTTATTACCAATTTGTATTTTTTACGATACATTGAATTCTTACATAACAGGGCCTGTCTGTTAGAAGGGGCTTTCTGTTAGGCTCCATTGTTTTATCCGTGTATTTCTGTGCCACAGTAGAGCCTCATTATATCTCCTTTTCCAAAATCTCCTTGATTTTTTTTTTCTTGGTTTCAAGTCTGTTTTTTTCTGTTTTCTAAGTACCTTTTGAGAGTGAAGGACTGTACTTTTTTTCCTCACAGCCCCTTCTTTTTGTTAAAATTCTCCTTAGTTGTTTTTGAAATTCACACGATGCTGACAGTTTACTTGGGGCTCAGTCCTCGGGGATGGGCCCGGTGGGCAAGCCCAGTGGACTGTGGGGAGGGGATGCTGGTCTGGTTGGGTCGGGCCAGGCAGACTGTGGGTCCAGGCATGTTCTGTGGGAGAACATGGCTCCACCAGCTCGGCCCATCCCCTCGCATGTATGCTAGGTCCCTCGAGGAGCCAGGGGAGTATGTGGATGTGCTCAGACCCTCACCTGGTGAAATTGTCACTATCTGAGATGACAGTTGTCTTACACGTTTTTCAAATATAAAACATTTTGTGTTTCTGCAGTAGAACCTTGGATCAGGAATTTCAGTAAAATTAGACCATAAACCGGTAACTGTTAGCTTTAACCAAAAGAGAGAACCTGCAGACAATAAAGCAACCTCTCTTAAACTCCTAGGAATCAAAGTGAAGTGTACTTTGCTAATTATGTGTATTAAATCAAAACCTGTGTTTGAAGCTTTCTCTTCCAAATTCCTGCCATGTTTGAATAAAAGTGCTTTATTACTATGGTAAAAATGCCAGATGAGATGTTCTTAAACCAAGTACAGCTTGGGCCTTTCAGGGATTTATGATTACAAGCTTCCCAGTGGTTTCTGCGCACTGACTCGGGGTGCCAGCTTGTGGAGGCAATGTGTGAACTACAGGCTGCGTTCTCGGGTTGATGCCCAGCGGCTCCACCCTTTCGGTGGGGCTCCGTGTCTTGACACCACTTTGTTTAAAGTAATGAGAACTTGTTGTGACAGGCTCAGCTCTGCAGCCCCGTCTCCCTCTCTTTCCTCAGTTGTGTGAAAGCTGCCGAGTGAGGGGACAGCAGGTGGGATTTCTGGTCTCTGGTCCAAATATAGATGGAAAGCTCTATAAAGCAGCAGTACTCACATGCTCAATTACATTTGGAGCGTCCTCATGTTACTTGAGTGAGTTTGGGTCTGTGAAGGGAGAGGCTTGAGGAAAGCCAATCTCACAAATGCCATTGGGACGTTTGTTTTGAAGGCAGGACTTGACTTCTGCCTCTGACTTCTAAGTGTGTCTCATTCTCACTTTCTTCTTTTTATAGGCACCAGTTTGTAGAAAATAATTTAATACTAAAAATGGGTCCAGTAGATAAACGAAAGGTAAGTCAGATGCTGGCTGTTCCTGTCTGTACGTCTGTCCGTGTCTTTGTCCCGGTTCTAACTCAGGATTGGGACTTCCTCTCGAGTTTCTGCTGTAACTTGTTGCACGTGGCATCCTTTGGCTTGGTTCCCTTTCAGAGATCATCTGTAGATTTGATAGCTAAGGAAGGTCAGCCATTCAAACATGGGAACCTATTTGAAACCACACAGGCCGTAGCAATAACCACACAGGCCGTAGAAATAGAGCTTCTCATTTCTTCTCAAGAGCCAGGGTTCGGGTGGCTCCATGAGACTGGGTTAACCCATGTCAAGGTTTCTGGCCGTTGAGGAGGTTCTGCCTGACATCCCCACAAGTCCTCTATCATTACATGAGAGTTGTTTTTGAAAATTGTTATTTATTATGATTTTTTGATTCATTAAGTGAATTAATTGTGTTATATCAGATTCCATAAATGTTCTCCATCAGCTGGCACGGGCCCTTCTAAGCTCGGGTTCCTAGCCTCCATTCCTGGCCCTCCCCAGGGCATCCTCAGCTGATGAGAACCTCCGTGGAAATGGGTGAGGTGTGACCGGCTGGCACGCAGAGCTCTGTGGAGCAGAGGGCATGAGAAGGGTGGGGGCCTGACTGTCTGTGGCGGGCCTGTTGGAGTTGGCTCAGTAGTAGAGACCTGTGGTGGCCTGTGCTGCCATCCCCCCACATGGCAGCCAAAGTAGAGACACCCAGAATGGGCACATTGGGATCCAGCTCACCAAGGCCAGGCAGTAAATACTCCCACTCCCTGTGACCCGAGACTGGGTCCACGTGGGGAAGAGGTATCACGCTGTCCTTATCCCAGGTGAGTGGACAGGTGACTAGCGGAGGTCCCTGTGCCCTGAGCCACCCTGACAGTTCAGCCTCTGAGTTAGCAACAAGCTGTCAGTACCCACTTCTGAGCCTTTTAAGCAGGGTCCTTTATTTTTATTTTTTGCATCAGGGTTTATTTGCACGGCGACGGCAGTTACTGCTCACAGAAGGGCCACACTTATATTACGTGGATCCCGTCAACAAAGTCCTGAAAGGTGAAATTCCATGGTCACAAGAACTCCGACCAGAGGCCAAGAATTTTAAAACCTTCTTTGTCCACACGGTGAGTTTGTCCCTATGGGTTCTCCTTGGCAGGCCGTCGGAGGCCTTTGGGCCGCCATTCTAAGTGTCCAAATACTGTAGCTCTAGGGGGCAGCCAGAGTTAGGGCAGTCGTCTCCCCATTTCCCACATCCCAGGGGCCCCACATTTATGGCTCAGTCCTGAGTTGGGCCGGGGGACACCAGTGCTGGTTTTTCGATCTCTGCACATATGTGGAAGGAAAAACTCCACATGTGCACAGGCTCCCAGAGCTGCCTGCAGCAGCCACGGTAGCACAGCGGTTTCTGTTTGCGATTTCTCCCCGACTGGAAGGTGCTGGTCTCGGTGAGACGCCCTCGAGAACATTAACATTTCTGTCTCTGCAGCCGAACAGGACATATTACCTGATGGACCCAAGTGGGAACGCTCACAAATGGTGCAAAAAGATCCAGGAGGTGTGGAGGCACAGATACCAGAGCCACCCCGACGCCCCCGTGCAGTGACAGGCCCACGGCCGCTGCCCTTGCTGCCAGGACGTGCACCCCAGCACGGCTCGCCGCCCTCCGGGACGCTTCCAGACCACCTGCCAGCCATCTCAAGGGGGACGCAGACGGCGGAACCTTGCAGCTTTTTTATTTAAAAGAAAAGAAGAAAAAAATACCCAACCACACAAAGAACAAAACCAATAATGAACAGGAATTCAGGGTCGCTTTGCTTGCTCTCTGTGCTCTGTGGAGGCCTCCCTGAGCTGGCCTGGCCGCGGGGTCCCAGCGCCATGCACGTCCGCCTGATTCCCACCCGGACCAGTGGACCAGCGTCATCACCGTGTACCTTGGTCACCTACTGGTCCTGCTGTGGCCGAGGGGACGGGCGTGTCTTTGGGCTGTTGGTGCCCTAGATTATCACAGAACCCTTCACCAGGAAGCTGTGCGTGCCGCTGCTGGCGTGGCCTCTGATCTCCGTGGGGTGGGAGGGTTCTTGGCTTTTGTCCATGTGCTCCTTTCCTCGTGTCCCTAGTTCATGGCCCATCCCCACCGTGGCGCGGGCCCCTCGCTTTCCTCCTCGAGTAGCTCTGGCTGCAGGATCTCCATGGCCTGATTATCTGTCTGCGAGTGCTGCACGTGTTGTCTGCCTGACCGGCTCCCACGGGTGAGAAGCAGAGCAAGTTGTCAGGCGAAATCGTTGGAGGGGCCGGCAAGGTTGTCCTCCATCATCCATCCCTCTGAGCAGGGTTGCCCTCCAGGGATGGGAACCAGCACATGCCTGGAGGGAGCACTGTGGGCAGTGGACCGGTTGGCCCCCAGCTGCGGCAAGACGGCTCTGCCTGCCCTGTGGGAGCCAGGGCAGCAAGGTAGACGGCCTGGTGGGCTCCGTGTGGAGGAATGAGACCTGATGAGCCCCTTGGGAAAGTGTGTGTAAAGGGTGAGGTGTGCAGTTAAGTGGAGGGGGGACTCCTGTCCTCACAGAGTGGATGGGACTGTGACATCCAGGCGGTGGGAGGAGATGCGGGCCCCCGGCTAGCATACAAGCGTTTCGGTTATGGTTGATAGTTCTCACAGCCTAACTCAGAGCATTTGTACGTCCTGATAGAATCTAAATGCCTTTTCATGTTGCCAGGTCACCTGGTCCCCAGCGAGTGGACTTTGCCTGGAATAAAGTGTTACTCACCTTGCACAAGGGGCAGGAACACCACACTTGAACCCAGCCTGCTCTCCTCCTCCGGTTTCAGGTTTCCTCCTTTCGCTGCTTAGAGGCAGCTCCTGCCCTGCTGTAAACTCCACCTGGTCCAGGTCCCACCAGTCCTTTGATTGATTTTGCTGCTGCTCCCTGGACGGTGAGAACTCCTGGCGGGCGGCCTGGCGGGGCTTGGCGTTCCTCGCTCTGCCTAGGTTGTCCCCAGAGGGCAGTCCCGCTGTCGCAGGCTGCTCCCAGAGACATCTCTGTCCCCAGGGGATGAACACCTGGCCATTTCCATTAGACTTTACCCAGGCACCAGCGAAAGGTCACCCAGGAAAGACCCCCCCCCTCACCACTTGCTGCCCCGTCTCCTCTCTCCAATGCACCATCCGTCACCTGTGTGACCAGGGCCCAGATGGAGAGGAAAGATGTCTCTCTGCCCTGTTTGAGTGTTAAGAGTAGCTCTTCTTAAACTGGGAGAAAGTGCGGATGTGGGGAATTGCACTGTGCTTGGGCAGGGAAAGGGGTTTGGATGGGAGCAGGGGTGAGGGCCAGGTCTGCAGGTGGTTTCTGTTCAGACCTGGCCTCTGCTCCGAGAGCTGAGAGGGGGTAAGAGAGAGAGAGAGAGAGAGAGAGAGAGAGTGTGAGTGTGTGTGTGTGTGTGTGTGTGTGTGTGTGTGTGTGTGTGTACACGTGTGTACGTGTACAACTGTCGGGTGCCAAGGTGCAGGGCCTACCTGCCCTTGGGTTGTTCTCCCTCTCCTCCTCGCTTTTGAAAGGCTTGCCTGTGTTCACCTGCTTTTCAGAAAGTGTCTGACTCGGTCCTTTCTTTCAGGAATTCCACTTCAGGCTTCCTCCCATTTTTCCAGCTCACCCTTCTCCGAACACCCACCTCTGTGTGTGCAATTAGGAGAGTCAGGAATCCACTCGGGCAGCGCCTCTCCCAGCGTCTGGTGACAGGGCACTGAGCAGAGCTGGTATTGGGCTTGAATGAGAGCAGTCAGTGGGGCCGGTCAGGAGACATTCTGCCCCCGGAAAGTGCCACTACCTCCTGGGCTTAACCAACAAGCTCCATCTTCACCTCTAAAACAGAGAAGAAGGGGTTCAGGGATGAGCTCGCCGCTGACTGAGCTGGAATGACCGCCCTTGCCTGAGCCAGTGACGGCCGAGCCCTTCTCTGTAGGTCACGTCACCTTCCTCCCTCCACTCACTCAGAGTCCTTTTTTTTTTTTTCTTTAAATATTCTTTTCTCCCCCTGTACTTCTACCAGCTTTAGCTTTATCCACCTCATCCTAGAGCCATCATCCTGGCATGCAGGTGCCTTACGTTCTAAGATGCACATGTCAGTCTGTACACACAGACATACATGGAAATACAAATGTGGATTTATCCAAAGTGAGAAAGAAATGCCGTTTAATATTTACTAGATCCAGGAGCATGTCTCTTACTGAGGGCAAGGACAAGTGTTAAGTGCCTAACCAAGCACCAGCCCAGTGGAGCCAGTCCCTCGCGCGTGGGGAGGGAGGGCGCTAGGGGGGCGTGGTCTCCGCTGTGCCTTGCTGCCCTGAGAGCCCGAGGAAGTTGGGGTCGCCTGGGGTGGTTTCCTTCCCTCTCCCTGTGGACCTGATCAGGGTCTTGGGCAGCGGGCAGCCCCACTGATAACTGGCACCACCACATGCCTGCCATCCTGAACCTGACTCTCCGGAGGCTTGTGACAGACTTGCTTCGGGAAGGATGGCTCTTGTGGTCATGCCAGAGTGGCGGGAACTGCACCTGCTCCAGCCCCCTTGGGACATGGGTTTCTGTGGCCCAGGCCAGAAGGAATTGCAGGAGATGGCCCTACGGCACCAACTCCCCACCCTCCTGGGAAGGGGGCTCTGGGTGACTACACTTTCTTCAAATAGCTGTTTCCTGAAAACCCTAGGTTCACCACCCAGAAAAGACCACTGTGAACACGCTGGTGTCTAGCCTGCCCTCCCCCACCCCCTTTTTTTTTTGCATTTTTACTAAACTGGGAACATACAACATAGTTTTGCATCCAACCTTTTTCACTTGATATTTTACCTTAAAGCATCTCCTCATGTCGTGAGCAATGATTCAGAAACATTGCTTTTAATGTTTGTAGAGTTTAATGGTTATACATTTTATCATAATTTATCAGGCCATTTCCCTATTGTAGAACATTTGGATAGTTTCTGGGTTTTTTCACTATTTAAATAATGCTGTGATGAATAGCCTTCTAAATCTTTGATTTTTGACTCGGATCCCCTCCTCCCATTCATAGAAGTGGTTTGTTTTGGTTTTTTAATTTATATATACATTTTAATATGAGAAAAATAAGTATTTTACAAACAATGCTGAGAAGGCCAATATTAAAAAAAAAAATTTGCAGGTGGCCTGAGGCAGTACAGGGTTCTCTGGTGTCATGAGCACTCTCACTTTCTTCACCTGGCTCTTCGGTAGCCCAGTCTGTAACTGGGATTTTTCTCTATTGTGACATCATAGAGCTCCCCATTATCCTTATTGAAACTCTCCTCCTCATCAAGAATCTTTGTCACGTAGTTTCTGTGTAATGTTTTTCTTGCGTGTGGCATTGAGAGGTCTATACATATCACTAAGCCAAAGTGGCCACCTTCTCCAGAAAAAGCCCTCCTGACGCTCACGTTCTGATGAGCATCTCTTCCATAGCAAAAATTAAAGAAAACCTGTGGGAAGCTCAGTCTAGATGTCAGTGGAGACTAATCCCTTTGGGGTCGCCACGGATGTTATCGGAGATCGGGTCCTTGTATCATCTCAGGAAGGCATTCCAGGATGTGCAAACATTAATCCACCACACAAAGCCAAGCCGAGGATTTATTAAAAGAAAAATAATATTACAGTGCACTCTCAAGATGGTGTGAGAGTGGACAGGCCCAGGAAAAAGGGCAGCTGCCAGAAGTGGTAGGTATTTTTGAGTCAGAATTTGTTCATTTAAAAGTTGGTGTTAATCTCTTTCTCCATCTTGATTTGATGCTTAGATGCTCAGAATTCTAGTAAGAACCTTAGTTCCGTTCAGATCCTGAAGAAATGAATTACTGGTAAGCTGTGTGTTCCAAAGAATGTTTGAATAAGACAGCTTTTTTTTTCTATTCTAAAATGATGTCATTACTGCAGTCCATTTGTGACCAATTTTTCCAAAACCCAATTTCCTTATTTTCATTGAAAGAATCTGGTGTGCTTGCATGTTCGTTACCTTCCCATCGCTGCTGCTATAGCTTTCAAGTGCTTGGTGATATTTTCAGAATCTTGTACTTTGTGTCCACAAATGGTACTGAATTTCCATCTGCACAGTCAGCAGAGATAGAAAGTGTTGAACTGACCTTGCCACATGCTTACTGGATGATGTGTATTTAAGTTCATAGACTCAAAGTTCCCTGGGCCATTGGGAATCCGTAACAGCAAAGGCTCTACTTGAAAAAGAAACCACGCAGACAGTTAAGGGTTTTACAGAGTGCGTTTGCTCCCATGCTCTTCAAATCCTGGAACTTGGTGGGTTCAGTAGGGCAGGTGGCCAGGCATTTTCATGGTACTGTGTAATTGTCCTGGCTGATTAGAATCTAAGGACTTCTCCCCTCTTTGTACCCACCATGTTGCAGGTTTGCCTAGTTGTCTTTAAGTCCAGACCACCCAAGTTTGGTTTCATTCTTAATTTCCCCACTTTAGTTTTGGGTCTGTTTTATTATGAGGAGGAACATGCACAAGAGATTTTTCTAGGTGTCGTGCTCAGTCAGTGCCACTTTGTCAGAGATTATGGCTGAATTGTGCAGAATTAAGTCTCCCACCAGCCTCCTCTGACACCCCAGGTCTCCTCTCACTTGGCCAGTCCACAGACTGAGGGTGCTCACTGCCCAGACTGCAGAGGCTGTCGTCACTGGGAGAGTTTGGTGATGTTACTATCCTTGGAGATGTTGCTACACACGTCTTTCCATATTGTTTCTTTTCCTATCCAAACCTAGCATGAACTGATGGTGACTCAAGTGGGTATGGCACTGGCCTCTTAGGCAACCTACACGGCAAGTGCTTTAAATCAGGGCAGGGGTCACTCCCAGAGCCTCTGAGGGGCACAGGCTGATGGGCCAAGGTTGCAGGGCTGTAAATCAGGCTGCCTGTAGAAAACTGGTCTGGGGAGGAAGTTGTTCCAGCAAAGAGCGGTGTTGTCTCTGGCCCAAACAGCCGTAGTGGGCCACTGAACAAGCCTACCTGTATACCTGAATTTTCCCCATAACTCATTTCTTCAATATGAAGAAACACCAAACTTGATGTACAGAGGACTTTGTACAAAAGGCAAACATTTTTTAGCTGTGTAATCCACCCTAGTAGAACCTGTCTGGCTGAATGACTATGAATAGTGTCATTCTGTTGGTGAAAAGCCTCTATCACGATCCTAAGTTTGATTGGATGCTGGCAAAATTAAATCTTGGAGTATTTAGAGCTGCTGTATCTGTTCCTTAACAACACAAAATAGGATGAATCAATAGTATGTTAGCTGTCTTTCAGGTTGGTGGCAGTCAGTTAGAACATGTTTAATATTCTCTACCTGGTCTGTAGCTGTAACTGTGATGTACAGGCAAAGCAAAAATTAAAAAAAAAACTTATGAAAACAAATAATGCAATGATATTAGGATATACACTTTTGTATTTTTATTCTTATATAAGGTTATTTGCTGGCTATTGTTGGCCTCTAGTTCAGTCTGTGTTATTTAAAATCTAATATATGAATTATTTGGATTGAATTCATGTTCGGGGCCACGTTGTTGTATGTATTGATGTACAGCCTTGAATGTGAATAATTATTGTAAACTATATTTTACAACTTTTTTTCTGGCTTTATTATATAAATTTTCTATTTGGTCAATGATTTAATCATATAATTTAATGAATCTTTTCTTTTTTTCAAATATTTGTGCTTTAGATGTAGTTGCCAGATGATGAATTTTACACAAGTATGCTCGTAGTCTTGTAATAAAAAAGCATGTAGAGTGTAGACGTTCGCTGGCCCAGCTCTTCCTTTGGTCGGGGATCGGGCATGGTCGTGACCTGGATTAGGTGCCGGGAGCTCGGCGTCAGCACACCGCAGTCGCTGGATAGACGCCAGCGAGACCCCCTTGAGCCAGGGGCGTGGGCTCTAAAATGAAGGAGGCCTGACTGGCCGCTAGTTAGGACTTGAACTTCTGCCTCCCTCGTGAGGCCTGGCGGGTGCTTTAAGAGGACGAACCCGGGGGCGGGACGGAGCGCGGAGGACACTATTAAAGACCGCCCACTTCCGGTGCAGGAGAGCAGCGGCGTGTTTTGCTGGGATCATGGCGGAAAGTCACTGTGAGCTGCTTCTCCGCTGTAGGTCGGATCTCAGCCCCGCTGCCCAGCGACCCGGCAACGTGTCCGGCTCAATGTCGGCGGCACCTACTTCCTCACCACCCGACAGACACTGCCGGGACCCGAAGTCTTTCCTGTACCGTTTGTGCCACGCCGACCCCAACCTGGACGCCGCACAAGGTGAGGGCCGCTCGAGGCTGGCCAACAGGGTCTGGGCAGCCCGGTAACGGAAACGCCGCACACCCCCTACGCCACACTTAGGAGACCCACTCCAGGATCCGATGCCCGCGCTTCCAGAAAATGACAGTCCTCTCCAGGATAAAAATAGGCTTTTCTTAGCTGTGATTTTCCTTTTATAGTGTGGGTGTGGGTGCGTTTTTATTATTTTTTTAGCTGAGCCATCCTGCCACCTGTTGGCAGCTGCAGCAGCTCAGCTCGGGCTGGAAATCGAACCGGCGACCTGGTTACTCAGAGCTCACGCTCTTGAGCGAGGTCTTAACCAACTGAGCCACTTGGCTGGCCTGTGGGTCTTAGTGGTCATTCACTAGCATTTCTACTCTGGCTGTTCTTCTTTTGTGTACTGAGTCAGATTTTAAATTGCTCGTGTCCATTGGGTTGTTTTGAGGCAATGGACTGGGCTATTCTGGACAAATGTTCAGGGCCGACTATAGCTTGCACCGTGAAGTCGATTCATCCCTTTATTTTACTGTTTCAAGACTTCTTAAAAAGTTATGCTTTCCTGTAATAGGAGTCTTTTGGGGGACAGTATCCTATCAGAATATATCTACATTGTCGTTGATTTTTTAAAAATCATCATCCACTTTACCACATTTGGTTTCCAATATGTAAAACTGAAATTTAGAACATGAAGGTAATGGAGCAGATACAATCTGTCTCATAAAACAGCTGATAGTAAATAAGGGTTAGTTTTAGCCACAGATAATGTGAGTTTGCCAGAAAGAATAATGCTAATTCACAGTAGGCATAGTAGTAGAGTATTTTATTTCAAATGACAAAATGTATAAGACTTGGTCTTCTCAGTTTTTTCTCTCTTGGTTCTGATGAAGACTGTCCTGGACATTCGTTCTTAGATAATTAAACCCTGAGTGAGGAATCAGAGGATGAGGGTGAAGGGGAAGGGTTTTGGGAGGAGTGGTACGCTAGTAATTACACGATGGAAGAGAAACAGGATGTTGATTCACAGGTAAAAATCTCAAGCCCTGACCTCCTGGTTAAGAATAATGAACACATACCTACCATATAATCCTTGCACTGAACCTAAGCGTGCCTGGTGGGAGATTTCCTGCTGGGCCTTTGACTAGTGTTTACTGAGCACCTAGGCTTGCACACATAGCAATTGGGGAGATTTAAGTGGGGAGGAGTTCCAAGCAATTGCAGACCTGGGACCTTCAGGAAGGTGATGGGTTTAGCGTTCACTGACTTGCTGGTAAACGCAGAATGTCTGGTGGAGAGTTCAGTCTGTGGGAGACATGGAGTTACAGGATATTTTCTGGAGAGTGCTTTTTAAGAAGTCAACACACAGATTCTTAGGGAGGGTGGGGATCTGGGCTGTAATTAATCTTCACGTCTTCACATTCCCCGTCTCAGGACTGAGCCCGGGACCCACTGCCCACCAAGCCCCAAGCCCCCAAACCCTTCCCCTCTTGAATCTCAAGTTCTAACTCTGGGCCCATTGCTGCCATGACGTTCTCTTTATACAGCCCAAGTGTAAATTCTCACTTCCTCCCGTGGCTTCCACTCTCCAGCCTATATCTAGTTATTAATTTCAGCTGTCCTGGATCATTTTTCTCTCCCATGTTCCCTTCAGGACACACTAGATGGAATACTCCTTCCTGGAAGTGCTTCATAAACACCTGATATGCTCTCCTGACTGCAGAGCTCCTGGAACATTTATATCTGGAGTTAATGGGATGTTGGGCATTGCAGAGGACAGATCGTTTTCTCTGGTGACAGTGAGACTGGGGACTCGGGCCTGACTCTGTCCAAAACTTAAATTACTGTGTGCCTTGGTGTAGTTAATGTACCTCTCTGAGTCATGGAGGACTTGTCCGCATTAAGGAAGACTATGAAAACAACCCCTGCCCTGCCAGGTGTCTGGTGCGGGATCACTGCAGTCAATAGAGAAGGCTCTTAGTAGTCTTTATTTTACTTTTGTGCTTTGTATTTCAGAAGAATGTACCAAGGGCGCTGTCATTTTCCCATCAGAATGTGTCTTTGTTACTGTCTCTTACATATACTCACTGGCTCACTGCAAACCACTTGGAGGGGCCCAGGCGTCCTGTGTGTGGAGCCAGCCCCCTCCCCAGTCTCCCTTGCTTCCCCAGCTGCCTTTTCACGCTCCACCCAGGGCCCCTGGCTGGTCTCAGGACAGGCCCTGGAGGGCAGGTTCCCATTCTGGGCACTGGAGCCTGTGCCCTGGGGGAGGGACACGGCTTCCTTGGCAGCCACTGAGGTTTTTTGCAAGAAACTGGATGCCTTGGAGCCTGGACAGTGCCGCTGCTGGTGCACGTGCCATCGTCGTGTGTGTTGGCATGGGCTGTCGGGAAGCCGCAGCCTCCTAGTGGGGGTTGTGCTGAGCATCCCTCCGGCCTCGTGTTCTAGTGGGTTCTGGTTTCTTCGGCAGTCGGGCTTCCGGGATCTTGGCAAGTCAGACTTGGGTGGGTGAGGGTGGTTCTAGAGGGATGAGCTGGGCCAGCCCCTCACTGCCAAGGTAGGTTTTTCAAACCAGGAGAGGCAGGCAGCGCTGGGCTCCAGGCAGTCCTAGGGGTGAGGGAGCAGAGAAGCCAAGCGCCTGCCCTTTGGTCCCATTGCAAAGGAGGGTGGACTCTGCACTGTACCTGCCAGCAGGCCCAAGTGCAGGAAGAAAGCAGAGGCCACCAGGGAGCCAGCAAGGCAGTGGCTGTGGGGACAGCTGGTGGTGAGGACTCAGGTGCCCCCGAGGAGCAATGGGCCAGGTGTGAACCCTGGCTGGTGTCCCGTCTGATGTGTCCTGCCTGCCAGCACTGAGTGGCTGGTGCCCAGGGGACTGGAGAGACTGGCCCTGAGGAGGCCTCACCCCAAGGCTGGCAGAGCCCTGGGTCCTTCCGACTGGTGCTTCTGTCCCGGGGGTCATGGTTCCCGCCTGTTTCCATCTCTAGTTGATTTCCTAACGCCAGAAGTTTTGTGATAAACACGCACACTCACACCATCGAAATAACCAATGTAGCACCTGTAAGGATTTATGTACAGTTGTTCTGTACACAGGATGTCTCTAGAGAGGGAAGGACCTGAGAAATCCCGGCAGATGGACGTCCTTGCCTTGTGACATCAGTTTTCTTAGCAGCTATGACCTGGTGAGGTGGCCCTGGGGTTGGCGGGTCCACCACACATCCTGCTCATGTCTGTCCTCCCTCGGCTGACCTCTAGGTGGGCCCGGTCCTGCCAAACTGAGCAGGGCCCTGTGAACCATCTCTGCTATTCCTGGAGCGTGGTGGGACCCCCGCCCCGCCTCAGGTGAATCTCAGCACGTTTGTTCCAGGAGAAACCTCAGGAGCCCCCCGGGTGCGGGCTGTTGCCTCTGGTGAGCCTCATTTGCGTCGTGTGTGTCGTCTTAAATTCTGTTGCTAAGCCACAGTGGATGGCATCCATCTAGGGCTGGGGAGGCAGCCTGAGGGTCAGGGCCCTGAGGTCTGAGGGGGTTTGTTTCCAGGAGAAGTGGCCAGGGCCAGTGCGAGGGTCAGACCTGGAGCCCTGACATGCACCCTTGCTTTCCTTTCTTCCCCGTGTGGGCCAGAGGGTTTCGGATCTCTGGGTGCCCACTGGGCACCGTGGGGTCTCCAGGAGGGACAACTAAGTCACAACCAGCTGGCCCTCCTGCACCTGTACAGCAAGCACAGGTGCTGCTTGGAGTCCCGACCCCGCTGTGTGAATCCCGTGCCTTTGACAAGCCTTTGGTCTCTGACTTCCATTTCTTCATTTGTTATTGTTGATGTCTGATTACTCTTCGGGTCAAGGATATGAGAAACTGTAGAAAACAAAGCAGAAAAGTGGGCAGAGGTGGAGGCTTTATGTGCAAATTTGAACTAGTCACTGAAAATAGGTAATTTCAGAGTAAAAACTAAGTCTTTTTTTTTCTTTTTTTTTTTTTAGCTGAGCCCTCCTGCCACCTGTTGGCAGCTCAGCTGCTGCTCAGCTCGGGCCGGGAATCCAACCGCTGTTGCTCAGAGCTCAAACTCTTGAGGGAGCTCTTAACCAACTGAGCCACTCGGCCAGCCCAAAAACTAAGTATCTCTAATTAGGTTGATTGCAAATGTTTGTGCACAGAAAATTCTCTGCTTTTGCATTTAGATGTCAATGGGGAAGTTTGACAGAGAGCATATATCTCATGTTTAGTGCAGAACACTCAGCCCTCTTCATCTCAAGTCTCCAGTGACCATCCTTTTCCTTTTCCTGTGGCAGCAAAGCAGTGGTCGTATCCACTTCATAGTGTTTGTGGAAATCGGGAAGGTGATTGAAAGGAGCCAAGTGCAAACTCTCTGTAAAGAGCTCATAGAGCCAGAGTGAGACATGTCAACAGAATAATTTTCCGTTTAGAATCTTGCATGGGAGCCTGACATTCTCGACCCTTGTTCCTTCTTGCCACTTTCAAGACCATGTTGTTGTGTGCCCCGAGTGGCA